CTCTTCTAACTTCTGCAAAGTCAGATAAACAAGGATTCTGTTGTGTCAACAAAGTACTTAATTAAATTGAGGAGGATATCAATTAGAATTCACAGTAAGATTTACTTCCAGATAATAGAAGCTCTGGAATTAAAATGTCAGTGAGTTATTCAAAATCCTCTTGGAAAGAATAGTGAGGTGAGCCCCATTTTCTGGGTAGAGAACTGAGTCATTTGGTAAAAGTCCCCAAATGTGTCCCTCAAAAAAGGCTAGGAATTGATTGTTTCTTCCTAGACTGGCACTTCCTTGTAACTGGGATAATTTGCTAGACATTTAGGAGGATATAAAAATCTCTTTTCCATACACCTATAATATTCAATAACGGAACTTAGAAAAAATGGGGTATACCGATGAATGTCCATTTTGTATCTGTGTATTCAAAGAGGTTGGGATAGATATATAGTTGCATTCTCTTAATGAATAGAATGATTTGTTCTAATGGTGTTTGTAAATAGAATCACAAGTCCGCATCTTGTACAGCAATTAACCACTAAGAAGAATATATGCAGTGTATTATTTGTTGCAACTGTACTTCCGATTTGATTTGAAACTGTCTCATTGCTATCTGTTTATCAATAAAACTTTGAAAAAAAAATAAAAAATAAAAAATAAAAATAAAAATAAAAAATCTCTTTTCCTAGAGCTGAGGTGTAACAAAGGGATAGGGACCAAAATCTTTAGAGGAGGGGAACAAAAAAGCTCTTCTCTAGCTGAAAACCACACTGTATCCCCACCATGCCAGACCTGAAACTGTCTGTTCCACCCTTTTTGCTAGAACTGAATTATTTTTTTCATTTATTTATTTAGCATAAAAGAAGCTCAGACTCCAGGAAGCCAAGAGGGGCAGGGCAGACCCAGGTGACTACAGGCACGTGGACTGCAGGGCAGGCTCCTGACAGTCCTGCTCTACAGACAGAGGCAGGGCAGGCTCCTGACAGTCCTGCTCTACAGACAGAGGCAGGGCAGGCTGCTGACAGTCCTGCTCTACAGACAGAGGCAGGGCAGACTCCTGAGAGTCCTGTCCTGTCCCCTGTGCAGGGGAGGGCCTTTTCCCCTCCAGGCCATCCAAACCTAGATAGAAAGAGGCCTAAAGTGGAGCCTGAGGTGGCTAGGTGGGCCCTTTGGCACAGCTGGGGTCCTCAGGTAATGGTCCCTCTTAGATCATCCCTTTAGGCAGTCCGGTCACAAAAAGCCAGTGAAGTTCCATGCACCACCCAGCGCCACCTATGTCCCCATTTCTGCTGTGTCTTTTGCTCCACAGACTATAGTAAGAAATAACAGGTCATGAGAAGGTCAAAGACAGGAAGACTAGGCAGGCCTTTCCACCCAGAGCTCCAGCAGACAGGGCCTGGTCCAGGATTTGGTCTGGGGTGGTTTGTTGAGGGAAGCTAGGAGCCCTGCCTCCCTCTCCCCACCCTACTGTCGAAATCTCTCAGATCTTTCCTTCCTCACCAGTTCTCAGGGCCCCCAAAAGGGAAGACTCCCGGCCAAGGAGAGAGGCATAGTGGTTAGCAGGAAAGATGGACTCTTTCCCTTTTGCTGGCTCACAGAAAGGCACAAATGCCCCGTGTGCACAGAGGCTTGATGTGACAGCTTGCTAAGCCTCAGAGCGCTTCCGCAGAGACCCCCCCACCCGCTCTCCATGCTCCTGTGAGGCAGGGTAACCATGGGGTATGTTCCCATTTCAGATCTGGGCTACAAAGGCCCTTCCCTCCCGTGCTGTTTGCTCCAGCAGCTCAGCTTGTAGTGGGTTCCCAGAACTCTTGGCAGCAGCCACTCAGGCAGAATGAGGCAGTGAGCTGCGTGGGAGGTGGTTAGACAGCCGGAGTGTTGCAGCCTCCTTAATGAGGGACAATAGCTCTTCTTGGAGCCATTGAGCGGCAACTACAAAGATGGGGAACCCCAATTAGGAAGGAATGGGCGACATGGGGAGGAAGGTCTGAGGGATGCCCATGGGATAGATCCTTGTCTTGGGGGACTCCGTGAGGCCCATGCGTGGACATGTGGCCACCTGGGCTCAGAATCTTCTCTTTCTCTAAGACTCTGTAGAGCCAGTTGTGGTAGGAACTGTTCACAATACACACATTGGAAGGAGGAAAAATTAGTGGGAAGATTTCTGCCTGGGTGTGCAGTTCAGACATTATAGTCCACAAGTAAGAAGAAAATAATAGGATATTAAGACAGTAATACAAATGGATCTTCCCTTTTGGTTTTGGTATATGTGTGTACCTGTGGGCTTTTGTATATAGCAGTGGCTCCTGAGTTTTGTTAGCTCAACTGAATCACGTTATGTTTACAGCAAGATAATAATCCTGGATTTTCCATGGCTTGCTCTGTTAAAGTATAAGATTAGCTCTTGAATTCATTAACAGCCGTCTCCTTTCAAATGTCAAATAACTTTGTAAATGCCAAGTAGTTGCGCAATGCCTTCTGTGCAACACTACCAAATTAACTCATTAATCTTTATTGTTTCATTCACTGTGACAAAGACTCCCAGGTGTTTCCAGCAGAAGTAGAAATATGTATTCAAGTATTTACAGTACAATACAGGTGGTGGGATGGGGGTTTTAATTTTCTACTAAGCATTTCACCTCTCCATAGTTCTTAAATCATTCCCACTGAAGTGTGTGCAAGCGCAAGAAACAAAAACTGCTCCAGGAATTTCTACTCTCTTCCTATCCCCATTTTCCTGCCCTTCCATTCAGCCTTGTGTTTTTCCTCTCCTTCCTCCACATCTGGAAATCTTGGTCCTAGCTACTCTTTGTTCTGCTACCTGTACTCTCAACATACCCAAGAGCAGCGTGCGTCTGAGAGCTGAGAACACAGAAATTTGCTGTAGAGCAGGCCTGGGAACCAGGAGCTCCTCTGCCTGACTCCAGCCTCCAGGTGATCAGGCCACACTGCCTGCAAAAGGTAGATCCAACCAGGGCTGGCCTGTGTTCATCATCCATCCCTGGGCTACAATACCTCCATCTCCCAGAGGTCTGCCCTGGACAGCTGTGAGGCAGGTCACCAGCTGGCCCATCACCTGCTACCCTGTCACTCTAGTGGTTGCGGAGTCTGCAGAGCTGAGTTATCATCTCACGTCATCTTGCTTAGCTCTGTGCTCATTCGTGTGGTGCATGGTAGGCACATGACAAATACCAGGCTAATGAATAAACGCAAATCCACCCGGGCACATGATTTGCTTCCCTGGCTTCAGCTTACTGACTTTTTGCCTTCTCCTATCACTGTCGCCCAGAACCTTGTTTATATGTTTAAGTTTTTCTCTTCTCCCATCTCCTGAACGCCCTTTTACTATCATTTATTTGCTCGAAGATCTGTGCATAATAAGCAAAACCAGCACTGTGCTCTCCCATGTCTTCACTGAAAACCACTTGGTCAGGCCAGAATTGGTGGCTCCTGACAGGAAGAGGAGCCCTGTGGTCAAAAGAGTTGTCAGAGAGCAAAATTTATAGGTCAAGTGGCTGGGAGGAACTTTCCTCAAAACCCCTCAAGTCCCAACTCTTCTATCTGAAGCCCACCAGAGGAGCGAAGGCAGTTTCAGTCTCTGGAACTGTTCTTGGCTGTGTCTCAGGTCCTGTAACCTAATACAAATTCTTCTTTGGAAAGATTGGAGCCGTTTCCCTCAAATCAGTATTATCTGATTTCTGTTACTCTAGCCAGTGATCCATGCAAAGCTGTGGAGCCTAGAAGGTTTGAAACGCTTTGTCTGGTTTGAGCTTGAAACAAATGCTTTCATTTGATCAAGAAAAGGGGAGGTGATACCTTACTCTGAGAAGCTAATCAGATATATGGCTGGGATGACGAGAAATTGGATAAGTATTTGTCCAGAAAAAAAAAATCTTTATCTCCAGCCATATTTCCAAACAAAGGAAAAGGGTGTAGATGTTCTTTGGAATGATGATTGCTTATGGAAACTAAAACCTCTCCCCTCCACCAATGAGTACGAGAAATACAATGTTATGGCGCCCAGAGAGACAGACATCGGAGAATTGGTCTCCTAGGAAATGTGGAAATGATCAAATCCATGCCCAGTGTGATCTCATGGCACACTAATGTATGTGATCCCCAGAAAACAGGTCCCCAAAAAAGAAGAAATAACTTTTTTTCTTTGAGAATGAGGGGCCAGAGCCACATCCAGGTCAGCCCCCCAGGAATCAGAGCACTTGCTTGCTCGTCTCCCCTGTGAGCTGCAGCTCGCCTCAGAGATCCTTCATGCTGTCAACTGTGTTCCTTTCCAAACACTGAACAGATTCTGCGGTGACAACAGGAGCAAGACAGCTGTGACTCCAGCCCCCAGGGAGCACATGGTTGTGGAGGCAGGGCCCACAACCTCCCCAGTCACTGTGGGTGTGGCAGGAAGGACTCCGTGTTCTGAGAGGTCACCCAGACTTATTCTGTCACCAGTTCTTCCTTCTCTCTCTGCCACATTTGGTCCTATCACTCTTCCTAACATATCAAATACATTTTCAGCCTAGAAGTAAACTACAATCTTGCAGTAACTTTTTGTGCTGCAAGGCAAATTGGGCAACCATTCATGGATCATAAAAACAGCAAAAATCTCATTTAGAAGGGGTCTTGAGTGGTGATGTCAGCTCTGGCATATGCCAGTTGAATGGATTTGAGCAGGCTGTTTACCCTACCAGAGCCTCCAAGTCTCTTCACCTGTGACAGGTGGGTGACATCCCTACCCCACAGGGCTGTCATGAAGATTAAATGAAATAATTGCAACCCTGGGAAAGCCTCTTTTTCCACTTCTCTGGGTGCTAATTATGAACGAGGCTTGAGTTATTCTCTACACATATGGGCCCCCGTGCCTCCAATGGTAAAAATAGGTGTTACTATTAGTGTTGCAATGGTGAAAAAAATGCTTTTTATAAATATTGGGGGATTTGGACTGGCTCTTGTTGCACTGCACAGCATTCCTGTGAAAGCTGGGCTTTCTGCTTCTCTCCCAGGGATCCCCACAGTCCTCGGAGGCAGCAGCTCAGAAGGCGGGAGAGCCTCAAAGTTGTATAAATAAAGAGCTGATGTGTTCAAACAGAAAAGAATTTTCCACGCACAAGCTGCACATTGACAGGACGCCGTTCCTGAAGGTGATCTCACACTGAGCAGACGAGGGGCTTTAGAGATACAGACACAGGAATGCCAGTTAATACACTTCTGCTCAGTACAAAAACAGCTTCTGAAGTCCCCAGCACCCCTGGTTTATCAGAGGGGACAGAAAATAGGCAGTTTGTAGCAGATGAAGAAAGAACAAATTAGGACAGTAATCACAGCCAGCCATCGGGGACAAATCAGTTGGGTGTCTGGGTTGGGTGGTGAGGACCAGGGAACAGAGAGAAAATGGGATAACTTTGAACCATCTCATAAAACAGGCAAACAGATTTCATTTTATCTTGCCAATATCTAACATAACCACTACTGTTTTACCACTATAACTTGGTAGAGTTGATAATCATACTTGGAGAAGACTGTTCTTGAGTTAACTATTTAGAAGTCAACGGCAGATTCTGTTCTGGATATCTGGCTTTGTTTTCTGCTGAGAGTTCTTTGATCTCCCGAGCTCAGCTTCATTTCTGGCTAAGGGTCCTGAGGATGCTGTTAGTCTACCTGTGCTGCTGCCCTCCCACCCTAGCAGCTAACCAGCCCTGCACACAGGAAGGCTGCACCTACTGCTCCCTGGACTGTCTGCTTTTATCCTACAGCCCTTTGTCTTAGGGCCCTTTCCTGCCTGTCTCTCACCCTTCTCAGAGCTCATTTAAGTAAAGTGACCAGGGATGAAAGACATTGACCAGAAACAGAGCCAGGCCTGACCTGGGAGGACAACAGCTCCTCCTCACTACCCTAGAGCACACTGATCCTGAAAAGAGGCTCAGAGAGACAGATATAGGGAGAAAGAGGACAAGGAGTGTGCAGCACTCATGACAATGGCTCTGTCTAGTGTCATGGGTACTGATGGTGACTCTGGAACCCTTAGGGTCATCCTCCTAATTTCAACTCATCCAGAGTCCCCAGTTATGCCTTCTCTGGGCTGGCCAAAACCCAGTGCTGCAAGGTTGGAGTTTTGATTATGAGGCATGCATGTAACCAGTATGGTGCACACACCTGAGTCCAGCACTCTGGGAAGCTGAGACAGGAGAATCACAAGTTCCAGGCCAACTTGGGCATTTGGTGAGACTGTCTCAATGTTTTTTTTAGCAGTAGTTCTGGGAGTATGGCTCAGTATATAGCACTGCTAGGTTCAATCCTCAAGACTACAAACAAACAAAAAGTCACACATTGGCCCAAAATCTATCTCCATGACTAAATTCTGCTTTCCTGGGCTTCCTATTGGATATGCTCTGCCGTGTAGTGGCAAATGTGCACTGGGTTCTCTTTCCCAGATCATTCCAGAATCAATGTGAATTGACTTGGGTCAGACGGGAGATGCTATGGGGATATCAGGACCTCTAAATATGAAGGAAATTTAACTCCCTACCTGTTAAATGTCTGATACTCCAAGTTCATGTTCTCTAAAATGGAAGAATGAAGAAAGCGTCTGCCTGAGGGAGACAGAGGACACGCAGAAAGAAGGCTGCCCCTCGCCCCACTTCTCAGGGGAAGTTTTATAGAGCACAACCATGTGGGTACAATGTGGGTTAAGGCTATGATCAACCAAGAAGATTATTAGTACAGCTGTTTAGGTAATACTGATCCAGTGAGGAAGTGGGTCATGTAGCAAGCTGAGCCAGCATGGAAAAAACAAAGAACTTCTCAGGCAGGTGATGGACCGGAACTCTTGGTTGTCTGCTGAGGTGACTGATATCTAGCTAGCCTTTGTTAGGCCAGGTGTTATCACTTATCTCACCCCTAGGGGAGGATGTAGGCTTGGTCCTTCTGTTCTTATCTTGAGACCTGACTTCCAACTGATGTGTCTACAGCCACAGTGGTGTTGTGTTTTTACTTTTGGCCTGACTCTCCCGAGGGCCTAGCCCTACCTGACTGCCTACAATATTCCTACCTAATTTAGCTGTTTATAATAACATGTCCAGATGAAATGCCAGCAGACTAACCTGAAAATTGGGATTGAAATTGGTGGGAAGACATCTCACAGGAAGAGTGATTCCAGCAGGAACACAGAAGATAGTTGCTACTACAAGAGTTCAAGAAATATTGTAAGGGCCAGCCAAATAGCTCAGAGGATTAAAGCACCTGCAAGCAGGCACAGGGACCAGAGGTTCAATCCCACGGCCTGCTGTGCCAGCCCAGCCCCTGGGGCACACTTAGAGACTGGGTGGTGGCGCGTGCCTGTAATCCCAGCTCTTGGGAGGCTGTAAACAGGCCTCCCAAGAGTCTGATCTAGTAGTGAGACCCTGAACACCCTGTAGACCCTTCCCTAAAATACCAAAAAAAGAAAAAGAAAAAAGAAATATTGTCATACTGTTACTTATACTAACAAAAATACTTTTTTTTTTTTTTTTTTAGTACTAACTTTCACATTGAGCTATATTCTCAACCCCTTTTTAAAGTTTTTATTTCAAGACATGGTCTCACCTAGTTGCCCAGATTGGACTCAAACTTTCAATCCTCCTGCCTCAGTTTCCTGAGTACTAGGGTTAGGAAAATACACCACCCCATCCAGCCTCTTATTTTATTTAAAAAATTTACTAATAAATTCTTTATTTAATAAATCTACCTAATAAGCTTAGTTCTTCCTTTAGGGCTTAAAGAATTATGGTTGATACTTCCTGGGACGTGACACCATCATCATCACTATTTATTTGAGCTTCTGCTACTTACCCTTCTACTAGGGCCCACTTTCTAGTCCCCCCACCAAGACTCGCACACCTGGCAGCTGAGCCTGACTCACAGGGCCCGTGAGCTTCCTGCGGATGGGGGTGGGGGGGATGGTCTTGGGGCTCCTGTAGAGTCGGTGTCAGGGCTCTCCAGGCAAGCTGGTGAGTTCCGGCAGAGGAAAGCACACAACCTGTCCTCGGGTCTGGAGCTGTGTGGAAAGCTTGCTCCCCGCGTCTCCGCTCGCGGTCATCCTGAGCACCTGTCCACAAGGCGTTTCATCCAGTTTTGCCTGGCACACATAGGAAGCTCTTTCCACATTGCAAAGAGTGAACGCAGGGGATGAGAAAGTTGGAAGCCCCACAAGGGCAAGGAAAGAATTGCAAAGCATCGCAGTTGCTCATATTTCTGAGCGCTCTTTAGGTATCAGGCTCTGAACTGAGTTTCATGTGCATGAACTCATTTAATTCACAAACTGAATCTAAGAAGCAGGTAGCATTATCCTGATGACAAATGAGAAGACTGAGACACTGAAAGGTGAATGACTTTGCAGCGGGCCGTGCAGTTGGTCCCAGGCAGGTGCCCAGCTCCAGAGCCCAGGCTCTCAGCATCTGCTATAAAGCTCAGCCACAAACCCCACTGAGCCTTGTCCAGCCAAAAGCACTACCTGCACGATCACTGGGCACCCAGCATTCAGCACGCTCCTAGAGACACTCCCTACCCCACCCCCATCCCCACCTCACACATACCTTACAGCAGGAAGACATCCAGGGCCTACAGGGCTCTGCTGCTCCCCCTGTTCCCACCTGTGGGCTGTGGTGCTAGTAGGAGGGTTTCACCCCCAGGGGTCATGTGGCTGTCTTTGGCCAACCTATGTGGAGCACACTATACCTGCTGACCATGCTGGGCACTGAGGATGGGGAGACAAATCAGCTCCACCCTTGACCTTCCAAGGAGCCTGCGGTCTAAGAGGAAGATAAACAAGGAAAAAAATTGCAATCCAGAGGCAGGATGGGGGGTTTTGGCCGAGAGGTGTTTATTTCTCACTTATCTGGTGTGAATCCCCCTCACAGTCAAAAACTTCTTCAGTCAAAACCACCAGTGACAACATTATTTGCCCACTTTAGTATAATGTTTCTGTCAGATTTCAATTTAATCCAAAAAACATCTGAATTCCTGTAAAAGCTGAACCATGGTTTTGAAAACTATTCTGCTTTTCAAGAAGAAATGTTAATTAATTGACGTAGTAAGATCAGATTTCTTTTCCAAAAATGCTTTCAATTGTCCAAGGTAGGTCATGGTAGTAAGAAAGAAAACAGCAATAAGGCCTGGTAATGCTACCCCCAAAACTGAATATATTATGTTCCACACTGACATGCAAGGGTGTGAGTGCTATGCTCAGAGGATAGAAAGATCAAGCAATCTGAGCCTGCCTGACAGCTGGGGCAGATACTAGGGAGCAGGTAGATGATACTCTCCTAAGCACTCGGCAGGAAAGGTGCAGACGAATCACATCCTGGCTTAGGACTGTGGGTACTATTGCCAGGTAAAATACTCAGAACAGTGAGTCTCACAATCCAAAAAGCAAAAAGGAAGAAGAATGGGGAAGAAGAGGAGGAAGAGGAAGAGGAGGAGGACGTAGAGGAGGAGAAGGAGGAGGAGGGAAAAGATGAAACCAGGGTCAAGTAGAATATGGTCATCTGTGTGTGCTGGTGCACATTTCTCATTCCAGTACTCGAGAGGATCAGGCAGGAGGATCGCTGTGAGTTCGAGGGCAGCCTGAACTGCATAGTGAAACCCTGCCTCAAAAAGAAAAAAAAAAAAAATTGGAGTATGGTCAACAGTAAGGTGTCAGGCCAGTAGTCAGAAAACCCCAGTTCTTTTCCTTTTTTAATTTTAATTTTTAATAGATTGCAAATTGAAAACAATTTACAAACATAAATGAATATAACAATAAAAATTACCCAAAATAAAAATGAAGAAAGAGTTTACAGATCAGTCATAATAGTTCACTGTGTCAAAACCGAGAAACTTATATTCATATAATTAGAATTCTCAAAGTAGAAAGGAGTAGGCAATAAATATTTAAAGATTTAAAATTTCTGAATTTAGTTCAACTTATAATACCACATTTCCAAGAAAAATGAAACTTTCTACACAAGAAATTTAAATAAAATCATACCAAGATACACAAAAATGAAATTGTCCAAAACTTATTGTAAACAAAAAAATCATTAAAGCATATACATAAAAAATATTCACTATGGAAGAACAAAATTATTATTCCACATTAGAAAGGAAAAAAAAGGACAAAGTGTAT